CTCTTGACAGTCATCTAATTTTAAAACCCCAATTTTTAACCATTGCAGCATCTTTCTTATTTATTGGTTAGGTAAATGAATGAAAGCATAAAGCTGCTGATCCTTGTTTTTCACAAATGAATTTTTACTTCACCTTTTTTTCAAATTTTCTCAGACAAGCATGTAAAAAAGCATTTGCACTTTACAGACTAGTTTAGTGCTATGGTGTAAAGCTCAAATGTCCTCCAAAAGTCTTATGTGTGGAAGGTGATTGGATTATGGGGTCGCTTTACTCATAAGTGGATTCATGCATTGATGAATTGAGCTCATAGCTGAATGTGCAGATAGGAGGTGGGGCCTGGTTGTGGGTGGGTCAGTGGGTCACTAGGAGTGGGACCTGGCAGGGTGTATTCTCATACCTGGCTCCTCCCTTCTTGGTCTGCTTTCTGGCTGCCTTGGGTTAAGGAGCTTTCTTCTACCATGGCCCTATCATTTCTGCCTTGGGGCCAGCCAACCATGGACTGAACCCTCTGAAACCCATGAGCCAAATGAACTTCTCCTCCTTTAAATTGTGGGTATTGGGTATTTTATGCCAGCCACAGGAAAGTGACTGATACATTCAGCATGATTAATTCAATTTTGAGAATGAACTTGGCACAATGGAGAAAGTAAAAGTGAGTGAGAGCCTGTAAGGATCACAAAGTAAAGAAAACAACCAAGTACAAAGTCCAGTAAGTATCTGTGGGCGCAACTAGGTAGAGAAGTAGTTTGTTCTGATGTCTCAGGTGAAGCACATAATCTAACAGATAAACAGACAAGCCCAGTGTACGGTGTGGGGTTTCACATGGCACAGATGCCCACGAGAGAAACCAAAAATGAATGCAAGAAACGAGACTCGGACGAGAAATGAAAATGCTTCATATTTTTAATGTTTAAATGTCTTCTTCTCAAGAAAAATTTTAAACAGAAAGGAAATAAATGACAAGGCCTTGTACTGCAGTTAAATGAATTCCTGGTTTTATAGAAATGACAGATCGACAAAAGTTTGTTTAATGATTTTATGATGCTCTGTATCAAAGATGATCGGTAGTTTCATATTTTGTAAAATCCTTTCATTGATAGTATTGTTAAACAGAATCGAAAATTCAGTTTCTAATTCACAGTTCAAGACAGTCTTTTGTCACTGAAAATGTCATTGAAAGTTGCTGTTCTATATTGTCAGTTTACAAAAGAAAAAATAAAAATGGCCAATTACCAAACCCAAAGGATGAAAAGTTGGAAACAAATTTTAACGACTACCAGTGGTAGATCCAGATTTTATGGAGGTGAAGCCTTATAATTTGGACACTCAACTGTAAGAAGAAGAAATAAAATCCTAAAATGAGAAAATAAAAGTGCCAGTGAAGAGACTGGGTGGGGGGAACCTATATGTCTGTAGGGCCCTAAAGCAAGAGAGCTTGGCTCGGGCAGACACTGACATTTTGAGATTATGGTTTATTCCAACCAAGATCTTTTCAAAGTCTTAGTGGCTTTAGTAGCAGACCCTGGAAACAGGCAAATCTCCAGGTAAGGGAAACTCTCACTCCATCCATGTGCTGTGCTTCTGGGGTTCCCCATGCTGCAGCCCCACCCCGCTGCCAGGAGGAGTTTCTACTTCAGCACTGGTGGTGACAGAGCCAGGGAAGGGGCCTTGAGAACCCCGGCTTGTCATCGCAGGAAACACCGCGGAGCAAAGCAAAATGATGTTGCCAGTGGTACGAGTTCCACGGTAATGCTTCGCTAACCATTTTCAAAATGGTTTATGCTCTACAATTTCAATAAATTAAAAAGTGCTTTGGTAGGTTAAGATAATGGTGGAGGATTATTTCATTGCTTGCATTTTCTCTCTTTCCCTTTATGTGCTTTTAATTTTAGTTTCATTGCTTCTTAGTATTTTCTAAACACTTTCCAATACACAGGTGTTAATTTTATAAATAGGAAATTTATCTTATTACTGAAACAATAGTGAAATGTAAGATAAGTGTTGAAATCCATTAGCCTATAATTAATGAAGGATAACTATTTTAGTGAAATAAATATAGTGTGTGTGTGTATATATATATGTGTGTGTGTATATATATATATGTGTGTGTGTGTATATATATATATGTGTGTATATATATATATATGTATATAGTGGGATCCACAGTTAATTAAAATCTATCACCCTCAAAGAAAAATTACATTACCACGTCTTCTGCACAAGCAAAATCCTCATCACGCACATGAAGCAGTGCATTCTTGGTGTGAAAACTACAACTGCCCTATCTTTATTGCTTTTTCTTTGTGATAAAAATAAAACTTTTCCTTGGCTGCATGTTAGAAAGGTGAGATGAAATCTAAATCTATTCTGCTTTCCTCTCCTATATTTCCATTGTTATATTCTCCCATAGGAAAGTTTTCCAATCGATAGTGTAAATTTCAAGTATCTTTTTTTATACCGTATAACCTCCGCTTTAAACTTAGCAATCTGTTACATGAATTTCTAGCTTACACGGTGGTTTATTTTAGAAAAAATAAAATCACAGGTTGTTTTGGATTGTCCAGTATTTGCCAAGAAGACATTTGAGTGAATAAATAAACATGGAATATGTGTATCACAGTTGTATTTTCTTCACTTAAAAACCCAAGTGGTTACTAATGTTTGTATCTTTAGTAAAAGGAGCCAGATGCAGACTACTAAAGTGGGTAAATAAGGACTGTTTGCTTTGAAAATAACGAAAACAGATTAAAAGAAGATGTTTGAAAACTAAAACATTTATTAAATAGCAAATATTAAAACATTTATTCAAAAGCAAATATTAAAATAAAATATTAAAAAGATAACAATGGCCAACAAGCAAACCCTAAATGCCCAAATTCACTAGTTATTTTGGGGACTGATTACAGTCACAAAGAATATCACTTTTGCATTTTCAAAACTTGAAAAGAACAGGATGTATTTTTCTCCCAGGAATTAATGTATGTTTGCTCTACCATGGAACTGTGAATGCCGTACTGTTTTTAAAGGTAAAGCAACACTCTTTGTTTAATGTCATATTTTGAAATACATATATGCATTTTATATAAATCTTCTGATGGTAGTATTATTCCTTCCTAAGAATCTTTCCCATAGAAATAAGAGTCCACATATGAAATGATCCTGGTGAAGGTTTAGGAAAGTCTGTTTATGATAGCAAAGAAAGAAAGGAAGAAAGGGAGGGTGGAGAGAGAGAGGAAGGAATGGAGGGAAAGAGGAAAGGAGGCAGAGTGAGAGGGAAAATGCTAAAAGGAAAATTTCCTCTGGCAAGACAACGATTCTCTGTCAGAGAGGAGCCTGAGGGTCACATGAATATGTCCCATGACGCTCACGGTTTGGAACACTGCTGCCACCGAAAGCAGCAAGTCCAAATGTTAAAACTTGAACTTACTTCAACAAGAGCTATGAAAGAAAGATAGAGATCCTGAAAAATGTGCATGCTGTGAACCCAGGTTTGCAAACCAAAGTAGCAGGTGCACATATACACAAATACATGCATACACAGGTGTCCACAAATACATATGTGCTTCTGTGTATGATTATCTGGGCATAAAAACATGTGCAGCCTCTGTGTAGAGTGTTCATTCTGCCAACATGCTGCGGGGGCAAAGACGGAGACGAGCAGGGGAGGACCAGGGAACGTGAACCTGAACAACCCTGGAAAGAATAAAGGGCTGCATTAGCCACGTGATCACGGATGAGCATGGATGCCTACACGGAAGTGCAAAATAAAACGCACACTTTTCAAATACAAGGAAAACTTAAATTATTCAGATTTAGTTTTCTCAAACCAAAAGTTTAATGCACATTTCTCATTCAAATCAGCCAAATAAGATTATTCTTGATGCATATTGCTTAAATGCTTGATTTAAGTTTCAGTTCTATTTTTTCTTGTTTACATAAAATATTCCCCACCATATCTGAGCAAAACTGTAATTTTACTTTCGGTAATATGTTTAGAAGGATTAAAATACTATAGTGGAACTATATGATAGTTACACATGGTATGGTTGAAAAATACAGTGAATGATTAATTTTTTAAAATTTATTACAATACGGGGATTTAGGTCAGTGGTTCCAGAGCCTGCCTCGCAAGCACAAGGTTCCGAGTTCGATCCCCAGTACCAAAAAAAAATTATTATAGTAAAACACACGTTGCCATTAATCGTCCCCCAAAATACTCCCCTAACTTCAAACAGACTTATCCCATTGTTCTTGCCACTTTCTGAAGCAGCTCTGGAGTTCTCTTCCATGAGTGTCCTTTCGTGGCTGCCTTGATGTCCCAAATTGATTTAAAACATCCACAGCCATGTCTATCTAATAAAAGCATCATATGTGTGCTCATCCACCTAATTCACTGGCCCCGGCACTGGGCAGCTTCTGGCTCTTCCCCACAAGAGTTCAAACGACAGTGGAAGGGAAGGGTTGTAAATTGACTCAGGACAGTGAGGCAGGCAGAACTGTACAACTACATCGCTTAGGAAAGAGGACTCCAAAACTGCTTCAGAAAGTGGCAGGAACAATGGGACAAATGTATCCAAGAGTGGGGGAGGATTCTGAGGGCAATGAATGTCGATGTGTCTTTGGCTGAAATAATTTTTAACTTAAGCATTCGTGGCGTGTTCTGACCACACCTGGTGTAACTCACATCTCAGTGTTTCTCATTTTGGATTTGCCACATTTCCTGTGCTCAGTAGCTGCTGCCCTGTGCACACTGTGGTACTAGACTCTGACACAAAGGGAGGCGTGTGCTGACAGGAAGGAGTTACAGCTGCCGACACCTTGCTCCCCACGTGCAGGTAGTGCAGAACCATCTAGCCGTATTTTCTGCCCACTGGCACAGTGCCTGTAAGTGACACAGAACCTCCGGCGTAAAAGCCTAATGTCCAGCGTCTCACAAACGTTACTTTTATAAAGATAGGTGGGGACGTTTTCCTTTAGTGCCTGACAAATCGGCTTGCCCCAAGTGGCCCGCGGTGGAGGGATGGCTGTCTGTAACTCATTACCAGCAAGTTCTGCTTGAACTTTTTTATCTTAAAAAGGAGAACCTGGTGCTGATCGGAAGCCCGGGGCGGAGCTCCGAGCCCCAGTGTCACAACACAAAGGCTACCCCAAGGTGCTCGCCCAAGGCTGGGTCCAGGAGCCCTGCTGTGGAGCTGCTGCTTCTGTCTTGGCTCTGGAGGCGGCTCCGTGCCTCCTCTGTGTGTTTGTCTTCTCCTGGATCGTACTTTTTTTATTCCACTCCTCTTCTTTTCACCTTGAATATGAACTTTCCTCACACAAGACCGACCCACAGCAAATTTTTCAAGTTATTGAACAGATTTTTTTTCCAATGGAGGATTAAGAATGAGTTTTTCTGACATGTCTTTCCTAACGGTACCCTTTAAGCTTCTTGCCCCAGGCAGTTCATTTGCCTACAGAGAAGATTAGCGATGCTGTAGAAGGACACAAATAAAACCTTCCAGCCATGCACAGCAGGATGGAGGGTGCAGGCCTGACATCCCAGGACCTCTGACTCAGAGATGGGAGGAACCAGAGTGGGGGATCCTCAGGTACACACAGGCCAGCAGAGCAAAGCTGTAAGGAGGGGACCGGCGTTCCGCTCCTGGGACAAGGATGGCAGCAGGTTTTCACTGATTTGCTGGGTGGGTGGTGTCTGGTAATCCCACTGGCCGGAGGTGCATGTCCACATGCTTCTTGCGATGGGTTTAGACCACTGCCTGGTCATGGCCGGCCCAGTTTGGAGGCTGCTGGATTTCAATGGGTCTGGTGCCTTCCTTTATCTTGTGCAAAGCATCCCGGCCTTGTGAGTCTGGGCCCTGGGTTAGACAGGCCCAAGGCTGCAGGTGCTTGGGTTTCAGGGGCCTCTGATGGAGGAAAAGGGTGAGGCAGAAAAGAGGGACAGAAGAAGAAGCACACAGCTCCGATGGGCAAGAGGCCAGTTAGCCCTGGGTTACAGCCTTGGGCCACTTTTCAGGGACCCACCTGTCTAGCGCAGAGCTGAGTGGACGGCTGACCCAGAGTTAAGACAGCAAATGGCACAAACACAATGTGAAGACAGAGATGCCACGCTTTTATCCTACTTCAGTCACCTAGAAGACTTTTGTAGGCTCAAGCAAAGGGCCAGGGCTTCCAGCAAAGGGGCCTTCAGGTCCCCAGGAAGTAAGCAGGGAACTCATCAAGACCCCGTATCCAAGTTGCCATGGACAACAAGCCTAGTGGGGCACAAATAAGGTACTGCTGAGCTGTGTGACAGCCAGTTAGCGGTTTTTAAGCAGACCTCGAGCAAGTGAGGCTGGAGGCATTACGCAGGCCAGGGGTGGCCAACGCACAGCGCGCTGCTGCAGCCGGCTATTCATTATCCCTGAAAGCTCAAAAAGGGTCCCTTCGTGGATCGCCTTTCCTTGTGAATCCCTTCTCGTTTCATGCCAGCATTACGCTCTGTGGCTTTAATCAGGACCTCATGACCACTCTGTTGGAACACGCCATGCCCAAAGGTTTATTCTGCCCTCCCCATCTGTGTCCCACTGCGGTGGTCCGTGTCTCCGGCCCAGCCGCTTTGTGGATAATGCATGCCCTTTGCCTTCTCTTTTGGTGGCTGCTACCCAAGCCCAGGGATGCATCCCCAGGTCTCCTGCCATGCAGTGTCTTCTGCGCCGGACAGCACAGAGTAAGGGAATGGCAGGTGTGGTCATCACTCGTGGGACACTGCCCACCTGAGTGGATTAAGAGGCACCTAGCAGATTGGCAAAGCAAGCTCTGGGCGTGTCTGTGGATGATTGACATGTAGGCCAGCAAACTAGGGGGGAAGACCTACGCCGGATGTAGGGCTACTAACCAATAGGCTCGAAGCCTGGGTGGGATGCAGAGGGAGAAGGAAGAAGCGTGCCTGATTCGGAGCCCTCCAGACTCCTGAGCCGGTCTGTCCTTTGCCACCTGGTGACTGGACGCTGGCCTCAAGGGATCCGGTGTCTTCAGTCTTCCAGGGCAGGCTCGAGCTGGTGACCTCCGGAGAGCTCCCAAGACCCCAGCGTTGGCCTGCGCGGGTCTTCACCCCTGTGGTCCCGCAGCTCTGGGTCCCTGGCTCCTGGGTGCACGGGCGACCACAGAAACCCATCTGGCCGACCCCTCGCCTGGCTGCAGACTCCGGGTCGGTCCTGTTCTTCAGAGAAGCCCTACTACCTCAGTGCCCGCTTAATAGAAAAACGCGGAGGGGCCGGGAAAGGAAGGGGCGAGGGAGGCAGCGCGGGACCCTGTGCCCAGAGAGGGGTGAATTTGACCCTGACGACACTGAGCCTTCTGCACCTTTGGGCAGCAGCTTCCTCTGAGGTCCCCGCCCCGGCCTGGACGAGGCCTGCAAAGCGCACAGGCCGCGCCCGGGGCAGGAGAGTGGCCGGGCCTGGCTCCTCCTGTGCCTGGGTCTGGGTCCTGGGCCTGGAACCTGGGTCCTGGGTCCCTGGGATGGACGCTTACAGCCTCCCTGCGCAGTGAGGGGACTGGGACTGGACGGGACTGGACCCCGGAGACGGTGCTGCTTGGGCCGCACAGGGGGAGGCAGCGGAACCCAGAGGGAGCGCAGGCCGGCGGGAGACTGGGTGTCCGGGATGCGCGTTCTGCGCAGACAGCACAGCGAGAGGAGCTGTCCTCAGGGCCCGGCCGGCGGTCGCCGCCCACTTCCGGCTCCCAAGCAGCTGCCCTCTTCCGGGAGTAAGCAAGCGCGCCACGTCAGGTCGGAACACGCTCTGCACCAGACCGACGTGTAACTAGTGCTCCCCAGGCCTGGTCCCAGTGAACGATTCACCAGAACAGTAATCACAGAAATATGTGAACTTGCCGAAGGAAATGTAGGAGCTGCAGGACAAATGTTTGCCCCTTTAGGGTGAGATGCTCTGTGCTGCAGTTTGGGCATCAGCCCCAAACACTTCGGAGTAAGTAGCAAGACGTGAAATAGACGAGATGCCGGGAGGTGAATTCTGTAGGCTACCGCTGCTGCCCCAGGAAGCCGTGCAGTGCCCAGTCCCTGCGCAGGCCCTGTGGCGTCACCCAGCATCTCGGTCCGCGTCGCAGCCCTGGGGAGGGGCTCCCCGCGCCCCCGTGGGGCAGCGCGCTCTGCTCCACGCACCGAAGTCTTCTCCGCCTCCCTTCTTTGCAGGCCAAGGGCGACTGTCCTCCGGGAGGAAAAGGAAAAGAACTGAGCGGGATTTCCAGGAGCGCCCTGAGTCTGATGGGTGAAGACAGTGCCACCGGGAGCTCTGTAGAATACACCAGGAAACTAACAATTTACAAAAGTAAAGAAGTGCTTCTCGCCTTTATTTTTCAGGGATTAATCCTGGGTAGTTGTAGTTTATTTTCTTCTCTTACGGGTTTTTCATGAATGCGTTTTTCTAGTTTGCATGTAACAACAGTTCATTTTTACTAGATGTTTTTAGTTATTTAGAATGTTCTTTCGTTTCCTTAATAAACACAGATGAGTAAAGAAAGTATTCCAGAACCAAACGTTTGTGGGATATGAAATAAATAGAAGTCTTTATCTGTTCCTGGGATTTCAAATTGATTCATCAAGTTGGTCCGTTATTTGACATTAATCTGAGATTACAGTTGTGTGTATTCTATAACCTGGCATTTCCAGTCAAATATATATTTAGTGAAATACCCATTACAGGTGTGCATAAGATAGCACACACTTGACTGTTCGGAAGCGTGGTTTACAGTATAAAAGGAAAATGAAAGCAAACAATCTACATATTGAAGAATTAGGTAACTCATATCTTAAAAACAATGTTGCCTAATATGATAATGGAAATGGCTATAGTACTTGTATCATTTAAAAATAAATCTAGGTGAATGATACACAAATTAAGGATTGAATATTTAGTAAAAGATGAAAAAAACCCAGCTTATTTGTCACAGCTGAGCAAAAGAAGAGGGCTGCAATTTCAGAGAATTCAGGAGACTTCCAAAGAGGCGCTAATTTAATTTCTTAGACTCAGTAGTATGTATAAATATATTATTTTATACATTTTAAACTATGTGCATATGTTTACAGGTCATATACATTTGATATACATAGTATATGCCGTTTTGTAAATATATACTTTTATAGCATTTTAAAAATAAAATTAAAAAAATAGGAGTTGCATCATTACAAATTTCACTTCGAATATCAATTCAGCCACCTTTGGGGTGTGTGAATTTGAGCAGTTATTAACCATCATGAGCCTCTGCTTCCAAATTTCTAAGTAATAAATGCTTAATTTAAAAAGTAAAACATTAATGAAACAATCGTACCCACTAGATAAATACTCATTTTCCCTCCACTCTCAGTCAGCCAGTAACTCCTGGGGGTGGGTTCTGTGAGTGAGATATAGTCAGTTGAACAATTGGACATTTTTCTTTTCTAATATTCCCATTTCCTTAACAATTGTTAACAGGAAAGTGGTCAGGCTTGGCAGTGGGGCAGTGGAATTGCTGAAGAGTTTGCTTCCGCCAGCCACAGATGGGCTGGATGTGGGAGAGAGCACTGCAGTCTCCCCAGACATCAAATCTTTCTCCTCGAGACCTGCTCATCAAATATTGTTCTCTTTGCAGTAATTTAAGCTTTCTTGTTCTGGTTATGGTGAGAGAATTTAATTTAGATGGAAATTTACTCTTTTGAGCAATTGGCTTTCCACTCATCCCTATTAAGGCCTTAGACAAAGTCTTTTAGGTCCAACTTGCCCTGGGTAATATTTCCACCACTTACCTCAAGCAGTCTGTGCCTTCAATGCTTCAGGTAAAATGGGTTAAATACACAGCCTTTGTCAAAGTGAAACTGAAAATGAGAGTGTGTTCCCTTACAGGTTTTAAAGATACCTCTTGGCATACTTCAAGTGGGACAAACAGCTAAAACTGTCTATGATTCACTAGGTGTTAAATTGACATTTTTTTATAATAAAATGAGCTTTCCCCATAGTTTATGTGGCTTATTTTTTTTTCTTTTCTATAGTACCTGACATTAGATATTTCATGACACAAATATTTGGACCTCTCTAGCTCTCTGTTTGTAAGTAATGGCAGGTGATGTTGTTTTGCTTTGATCTTGTTATTTTGCTAGTGGAGCCTGCAGCAGTGTTCAAATGTGTCCTTGCCCATTGTAAGATGCCATCCCATTTACAAATTTCAGAGTACTTCATAGTCTGTGTGCTCCTTATTTACCTTCAGAAGTTTATGTTCTTCTATAATATTGTCCTTTGTACTCGAATGATAGAGTCGTGCGTATTTATGTGTGTGCTTAGGCAGAACTATCCTTTTCCATGATATGATAAGCATATCTTGCCTTATAGACACAGCTTTATTTACAATTCTACATTTCAGTGACCTTCATTAATGAAAGCAAATGATGATAAAATAATCTAAGACCAACAGGCGATTGGTTGTCAATTCATCACTAAGAAAGCAGGAAGACTGTTAGCCAACATCAAGCATTTAGTGGTAACAGAAGTAGGATCTAATTATATGATCCCTGAACCTCTCACTTTTCACAGGGTCCTATGATCACTGATAAATCCTAAATTGGTTTTGCAATTTGCAATAGTCTGTGTAAAACATGTAATGTTTGTTTGTCTTTCCTCCGTGAGTAAATTATTCTTCCTGTCAAGGATCTTGGGCTGAAGCTATCTAAGTGAACCTTCATGGCACTGCAACTTCCATCAGTAAGAAGCATATAAATTCTACTCAGAAAACATAAAAATCCTCTGTAATAATTTTTGTAAACTTGTTTTGTGCTAGGACACCTATTTTGGTGAAAAGCATTAATATTGTTATTTAAAGTCAGTTAAGTTTCAGTAAGAAAAATAATGAGTTAAGCTCTTCAGAATTCCCAGACTGGGGATTTTATCAGTACTCATGATTGTATGCTTATAAATACTGTGTAATAGAACTAAATACTAAAGGCATTATATGAAATAATTGTAATGTTGGTAATGCTAGAACAAAAATTAAAACCACCCTGTGTATCAGAGAATGTCATCCCCTTGTCAAGTAAACTTTTTTCATTTCAAAACTGAAGAGACCACCTTGAGTTAAATAATTTTATTGTGTCTATCAGGGCTGAGCCAGGAAACTTCAAACACACAGATTTCTCAACAGTGGAATGGAAGACATGGTTGTTTTGTCAGTGGAAGTTTAATAGGGAGAAACAAATGTCAGAGGACTAAACAAAGAGGAGGGCGTGAAACCACATAATGTCCTGCTTCACCATGTGCCCAGACCCTTTCAGACTTCACTATGTGCCCAGACCCCTAGGGTGACCTGTCTCAGCTGGGATGACTCTGAGTCCACTGTGGGCAGTGACATCAAACCCTGGGACAGCTGTACTAAGGCAGGGGAGTCAGTGTGGACTCCATGAAATGACCTCGTTTCTGTCCGAATACGAACTTCTCAGCTCCGGCCCCTCATGCAGGTGCTGGGAGGCTGGAGACAGGAGTTTGTGGACAGCTCTTGGGCACTTTCCTAAGCCTCATGCTGCTCAGAGTTCAGGGAATATGGAATAAACACAACAGAGGAGATGATAAGGCAAGGGTTAATGAGTTATACGATGAATCACCTCAATGTCCTAATACCTGATGAGCAGAAGTAATGTGCAAATCTAAAAGTAAGTTGGGCTTTTGCAATGATTAATGCGCCAGCATGTAAATCTGCACCTATTCTAGTAGAAAACCAATTCTAAATGTCCAAATTTGAAAAGAGAATGAAGAGAAAAAAGGATGACAAGAAAAAACTGAATAATTTAAAATAATCAGAATCATTAATCTGTTACTGTATTTTGTCTGATAAAATATGTACCCTAACAATTTATTGGAAAACATCATTTTCGAAAGTACAGATGATAAAGCATCTAAATAGCCTTGTTTTACGTAACCGTTTAAAGGCCCCTACGGCGGTGTATCACGTAACACTGAAACCAACCGAATATTCCCAGTGCTAGCCACAGTGCCCCGGTTCTGTTATCAGGGGCGATGGCCCTGAGCGAAGGTCGTGATCCAGTCTCCTGCTTAGCCAGGGTGGGGTAGGGGGATACATGCTGGGAGGCAGTTGGCAGCGCCCTCGCCTTTCCAGCCTTCCTGCCTTATCCCCCTTTGATCCCGCCAGGGAGAGCTTCTTTCTCCATGCCCCACATGCCACTGATCAGCTTCCTTGTCTAACTGGGGAAGACAGCTTCATAGCCAGTCTTCCCTGATGCCACCTCAGCTTACACAGTGTTCATATCCTCTTCCTCACTTGAGTTGCTTATACATTCTTGATAACTAATTTCTTTTCATGACATGAGCATCTCACTGTGAACATGAGCTGTCATTTTAAAAGCACCACCTAGCTGCTCTTGAGAAATAGCTAACACGATGACAACAATTCTGTCCTCTTTGAATTATTTCCAGGCACATTCATAGAGCCACAAATGCAAAAGGGCAGCTGTGAGGGTTTTAAGGGTGAGCTTAATAACAGCACTTACCTCACGAGCTTCAGCAGGAAAACTACTACAGAAATGGCAAAATTACATTGTTTGTTTCAGCAAAAATGAGTGCCCCTGATCAGCATTTTACAAGGAACATGGTGATTTGTTACTAGTGAGCAAAATTTTTTTTTTGTACCGGGGATCAAACTCGGGTCCTTGTTAACCAGGTTCTACTTTCTGTTTATTATGCAGAACAAGTCAGTAAATGTCCTCTATCCAGCCTCTGTGGGCTGGAAATGAAGACCAAGATCACCGAAGAAACTTTAAACCCTTGTCTAACAGTTCTAACCATATAAACCAACTAGCCACATTTTCACATTGAGGGGTGTTGGGACACTTTGTCCTTGATGAGTAATGGTCATTTGGGTTCTGAAATCATCGGAAACCACTAAACGTATGAAAGGGCCTCAGAGAAATAACAAGCAATTACTCTTCTATTGAAAAAGATGGAGAAATTATGACATAAACTCATTAGGTCATCTCTCTAAATTCAAAATAAAGGACCGATAACCTAAAGAACTACATAGGTCTCCTTTTAATTTGGCAGAGAAATAATCTATGATTTTAAAATATTTGGACCAGTTTGGCTTTTGAATTTCCTTTCATAATTACATTGCCTGAACTTTTTGCATTTGTGAAGATGGCAAAATGCTGTGATAAAGTTATCATTATCCATTCTTACTGGATTTGGATTTAGACTAAGTCATAGAGATGCCTATATTATTTTTCAAAATGAAGCCACCACTTTCAGCTTAGGTTTGCATGACATTAATACAGAGACGTGTTTCATATTTCTGTAAGTTGTTGGACTGGTGGGATCTTGAAGTCTGGTTGGATCAGCCTCCTCACGTTGTATTGAAAGACAGTGAAGTCCTGAGGAGCCCTCACTTCCCCAAAAGGGTGGCCTTTGTCCCTAGCAGAGCACTAGGGTTTCCAACTTTACATTAGCATGATCCAGACGCAGTGTCCCCTGGATAAAATGCAAAGAAGAGAAAATCTAAGCAGCTTGTTGAAATTATTCACTGATTTCTGGGAACTTACAATCTTTAGATCATTTTAGCCACAATCTAGATGGTGCCTCAATCATATTACACTCTACATTATATCTGAGAACTAAAAAGAAAATGGAGACCAAGTTGTGCACATATTCTCAGTATGGTGGTGAGTGCTGAGCATAAATATAAGTGCTTCCTTTTTCTTTTGCTTCTTTTCTGGATTTCTAGATAGCTCAGCTAGCATTCTTCAGAATTCCTTAAGAGCTAGAGAAGACAATTGCTTGGCTGAGCTTTTCCACACGAAGCACGTGGGGAGACAGCATCTCTCCACATGGGTCACCTGGGAGATGAAGCTGTCCCATGGCAGTGATGGTTAGTAAGGAGGCTGCCTGTCAATGTCACTGAAACCAGGCACTTGAGCATTCACCTGTCAGCCCGTGAGGTTAGACCACCCCAAACTGCACCTGGGTGGTAAAGCGCTCAAGAGGAAGGAAAACAGGGAGGCACAGGGGCGAGACTAGAGGTCGCCTCTGCAGAGGCACTACTGGGGTCTGGAAGACTATCCCAGAACTAGGGCACAGTGGTAAAATGGGAGAGAAATAATCAGGTTGGCTTCACAGTTTTTGAGAGGAAGTGTTCAGTAACAGTTATTGCAAACAGGCAAATGGATCCAAACTTCCTAGAGTGATGAAATTAGATAGGAAGGAAAGCCCGAAGGAGAGAAGGAGAGAAGGAAAGGAAGGGAGGAAAGGAGAAGGAGGAGGGGAAGGAGGGTGGATTCTTATCACCTCCTCGTAGGGGTGAGGAAGTGGGGGTCATTGGGTGATGAGCAGGGCTATTCGAAGTCTCCAGACAGTGAGTAGGGAACAAGGGTTGGAAGCCAGCCCTGCCGCCTGTCCAGAAACAGCCGTGGGGCTGCTGGGAAGCGCACGGTTGACCTGCAAGTGTGGGAGATGGGACTGGGGACAGCATGGATGCAGATGGGACTCCACTGCCATGACGGCTTCCCGTGACCCTGCCTTCTACAGCATTTAGGCTGAAAAAGTAAGATGAGAACGTTTTTCTTTAACTTTTAAAAGACATGTCTACATGGTGCACTAATCCTCTTGCATATTAACTTTTTCCTCGCCTTCTCCCTGTACACACACAGGGATCTTCATTCCTTTTTGTCTCTAATATGCACCAAAAGGTGATATAGCCTAAAAGCAATGACAAATCCACAAGTGACATTCAGAATAAAAATCCCATTCACAGTGGTGTCAGAGAAATGTTAATGAATAACTTTAACAAAAAGAAATGAATTCTACATTATAAATCACAAATATTTTCTTCTTTCTTTGCTGAAAGAAATAGAAAAGAAAAAATAAATAAAGGAATAGATATGCCTTCCATGGTCAGGATTGAAAAAGTCAGTATTGTCCAGAGAGCAACTGTCTTCAAATTGACCTGTAGTTCCAGTTCAGTCTCTACCAAAATGTTAGCAGGATTTTTGCATCAAGAAATTATCAAAGAAATTTAAAAATTTATATGGAGATGCAGAATATATAGAAAAACAAATTGGAAAAAGGCAAAATATAATAATATAAATCTTCAGTAATCAAGATGGTACATATAGACCTATGGACAAATGGAACAGAATTGGAAGTCTAGAAATAAATATTTATATTTATAGTCAATTTTTTTCTTGACAAAGGTGCCAAAAATATTCACTGAGGGAAGATGCATCTGTTCAGCAGATGGCTCTGGGGCAATTGGACAGTCATATCCAAAAAGACGGCTGAGGCTGCACCTCTACCACCCACAAAATTAGCTCAAAGTGGATCACAGACCGAAATGAAGTCACTGAAATGATGAAATTTGTAGAAGAAAATGTACGAGAAACTCGCAGAGATATTAAGTTAGGTGACACTTTCTTAGGTATGACACTAAAAATACAGTGCATAAGAGGAAAAAATGATAAATTGGACTCCACCAACATTGAAAATTCACATCTTATATTTAAAAAATGACCATTAAGAAAATTAAAAGATAAACAACAATGGAGAGAAAATACTTATCATTTAAAGTAAAGAATTTACAAGAACATTTACAATTCAAAACGATGAACCAATCAAAATGGGCAAAAGACAGACATGCAGAAGAACATACACTAATAACTAATAAGTGCATAAAACAATGTTCAACATTTTTAATCATTGCAATCAGGCAAATTAAAGCCATAAGATACCATTTTATGCCTAGGAGGATGGTTATAATAAATGAGATGGACACATGTTGGCAGGAATATGAAGAAATGAGTACCTGCATAAACATTCTTCTGGAAATGTAAAATGGTGTACCTACTCTAGAAAACAGTTTAGCAATTTCTCCAATTTAAAGTTATCATGTCTACCCATGAGAATTAATAGCACAAGTCCATGTTAAGACTTGCACGTGAGTAATGATTGTCGAGTTGAAAAACATTTTTGTATTTAAATTGATATGCTCATTTTAACATTCTTTATTAATAAATTGTATTTAAGTGTCAAAACTTTTAAAAAAGACTTGCACATGGATGCTCA